ACGAGTATCACAAAATCAGCCCTTTTTGATTTACATTGTTCTTGCGTATTATACCTTGCTAGGTAGCAGATTCGGAGCTATCAGGTGATTAAAGTCAAATGGAGTCATTGTTTAATTGACAGCACAATCGAACGGTTATTGCATGAGATGTGTGTTAGTTTATTGTCTCTGTTGATTGGTTTTCTGTATGAAGCAATAAGTAATTTGAAGGAGCTAAGGTTAATATCTATTTCATGTTCCTCTGTATTTCCCAACCTATATACATGGGAGATTGGTTTAGGAAGAGCCATTGTCTTATAGTCCCTTTCCCCCATTATTAGGTTCCTAAAAATAAAGGATAGGAAGGGTGAATGGTTGGTTGTTTCAGAACACTGTGGGTGTCCCACTGACGGCCTGTCTATGTCATCAGGTTAAGATCTGTCGGCGGGGAGGCAGCCTTTCCCAAACCAGGCTTGCCTGGAATGGATAATGATTAGCAGGAGGGAGACACATCACGGGTAGAAGCAAGGAATGTAATGAATGTGGTTGGAAAAGTCGAACTTGAATATTTATAGATCGAGATTGGATAAGTACATTAGCACAATAGATTAAGATGTTGTAAGACTTTCTGATTCATTTGGAATTCCAGTGCTTTTGTGTGATAATTTTGCTTTAAAGCCACTTTAATTGAGTATGGTGCATATGATTAAGAACGTATTTTACCCTGGGATGATTGTATAATTACAGAAGCAAAATAAAGTAGCGGGAATTAGTCATGTTAGGCATTCTTTATTTATATATTTTATTTTATTTTTTTTGAGAGGTCTTTTTGTTGCCAGGCTAGAGTGAGTTGCCGTCGAAGCCTAGCTACAGCACCTCAATTTCGGGTCAAGCGATCTCTGCCTCAGGCTCCATAGCTAATAGGAGACCATGCCTAATTTTTTCTTATCATTTAGTTAGCCAATTATTTTTTAGTATTATCGTAGAGGTGGGGGTCTTGGGTATGCTAGGTGTTTTGATTGACCTGAGCAATCGGCTCACTCGGCTCCAGAGTGTAGGGATTACAGGGCGTGGCCCGCGCCGGCTATTTTTCTTTTCTGATCATTAATGTTAGTTAGGAGGATGAGGAATTATAATAATTGTTCTTTTCTTATTTTTTTTTTTTTTTGAGACAGAGGTCTCACTCTGTTGCCGGCTAGAGTGCTGTGGTAGCTGCTCAGCAACTCAAAACTCCTGGACTCAGCATCTGTGCCTAGCTCCTGAGTACTGGGGATACGGCATGGCACCATGCGTATTTTTATATATATTTTTAGTGTCCAGTATTCTTTCTTTTTTTAGTAGACCAGTGTCATCTTGGCTCAGGTGGTTTCGAATCCCTGACTTGAAAGTCGTCCTCCCACTGCTCCAAGAGGCTAGATTATAGGCGTGAGCCACTGGCCAGGCAATGTTCTCTTTTACGTCTAGCATTTTGTTGTTTTATGTGTAGGCAGTATTTATGCGTTATGTTGTTTGACTATAAACATTGTTTAAGGCAGTGGTTTCTGATGTTGGCCAAGTTCTTAAA